GATTAATTTTGCTACAAACTTTCTATGTAACCACTAAGCACAAGAGGATTAAACTTATGTTTGTAAAGGTCATGAATTCTACATCCAGTATCGGTCATTCTTAGAATATTAGATTCTTCTCCCGTTGTGGATAGTCCCAAGGCTTTAGATTATATTCCAGTTGTGGATCAGTCATAGGTCTAAATTCTATTCCCATTGTGGAATATACCTTAGACTTAAGATTCTACTCCTATTGTGGATCATTCCTAGGACTTAAGATTCTACTCCTATTGTGGATCATTCCTAGGACTTAAGATTCTACCCCTATTTTGGATCATTCCTAGGACTTAAGATTCTACTCCTATTGTGGATCATTCCTAGGACTTAAGATTCTACTCCTATTTTGGATCATTCCTAGGACTTAAGATTCTACCCCTATTTTGGATCATTCCTAGGACTTAAGATTCTACTCCTATTGTGGATCAGTCCTAGGACTTAAGATTCTACCCCTATTTTGGATCATTCCCAGGACTTAAGATTCTACCCCTATTTTGGATCATTCATAGGACTTAAGATTCTACCCCTATTTTGGATCATTCATAGGACTTAAGATTCTACCCCTATTTTGGATCATTCCTAGGACTTAAGATTCTACTCCTATTGTGGATCAGTCCTAGGACTTAAGATTCTACCCCTATTTTGGATCATTCATAGGACTTAAGATTCTACCCCTATTTTGGATCATTCATAGGACTTAAGATTCTACTCCTATTTTGGATCATTCCTAGGACTTAAGATTCTACCCCTATTTTGGATCATTCCTAGGACTTAAGATTCTACTCCTATTGTGGATCAGTCCTAGGACTTAAGATTCTACCCCTATTTTGGATCATTCCCAGGACTTAAGATTCTACCCCTATTTTGGATCATTCATAGGACTTAAGATTCTACCCCTATTTTGGATCATTCATAGGACTTAAGATTCTACTCCCATTGTGGACTAGTCCTAGGACTTAAGATTCTTCGCTTATTGTGGATCATTCCTAGAGCTTTAGATTTTACTCCTGTTGAGGATTAGTTCTAGGACGTAAGATTCTTCTCTTATTGTGGATCATTCCAAGGACTAAAGATTCTACTTCTGTTCTGGATCTACTGCCATTGTTGATTTGACCTGGAACATAGGATTCTTTTCCCATTCCATTATATATTCTTTTTGTAAAATTGAGAATGAGATCAAAAGTTAGATTGTCTAAGTTGAAATACGGCATCTGAGCCAAATCAGAGTAGAACTTGATGCAGATTCTACTATTCTTGGTCAGACTTAGGTCTTCAAGTTCTTCTTCCATAGTGGTACTAAAATAATCCAATTTGAATATTACTGTCATGGAATTAGAGAGAAACCGTTTTAGTTCTACCTCATTAAGCAGTATGTGTATTTGATGTAAAATAATGTAATAATGTAACACTGGTGCACTGAATTTTATCAGGGGGTTATCTCCCTTTAGATACCCAGTGCTGATCACTTCAAAGGTTTGACATGATCTGCTCTTGTTGATAAGGGTTAACAAAAAGTTTCCATGTGATATGGCATGGTAATCACTCGATGATAAATAGAGACCAGAATTCCAGAGAGAAGATGAGCATTGGCTAATAGCTGCCGCATTGATGTGCAATGTCGTGCAATGTCGGAGCTTCTATAAAACAATATGTTGATGAATTGGTGTCGCTTTGATCTTTGTGGTTTGGTGATTAATTTTTGTGATATGCATAATTACCTCTCATTATCAGGGGTACAGTTACCAGGTATTCGCTCACAGTGGTGGTTTATTGAGTGTTGACCGTATATACTGGTGAAATACATGTTTCAACAGAAAATTGTAGTGTTTGTTTCTTTGTTGAAAGGCACACAAAAAAATAAATTTAAATAAGGCCAAAATAGAATTATAGTTTGTTTGGAATTGCCTCCCGCCTCACTGAAATACCCCCCTCCTGAAAAAATTTTATTGACCAAAAGTAAGATGATTTTTTTTTATTTAATCAATTTTTTTTGCCCATTACATGCATCACATGCACCATACAAAACACTGAAATATAGTCTCAGATCTCTGTAAAAATTAGGGGGGGGTTTGATGGTAGATGCTTTTTTTTTAAAGTAAAAAAAAAAATGTTTTTACTGTTTACTGAGATTTTTATCAAAATTTATCTTCAATTTAAAAAAAAAATAATTTCCCTCCCTCCCTCCTGTGTCTGAAACCCTTCAGGCGGCAATTCCAAACAAACATTTTTTTAAGGATGGCCTAAGTGGTTGTAGGGACATGATGTTTAAAATAAAATCTGTTCATATTTAGAGTTAAAATCATTGATGTTTTCTTTTTTTTTGGGATTTCTTTTTGCCTCTCTGTTGTTTGTATTTTAAGTATTTATGTAATATAATGAATATACATTTAACCTCAGGTGTTAAAAAGTGGAAACAGATTCATTTTGAAATTAGTCATCTGGTTGCCATCTCTTAAATTCCTATGGTACACTGGTCCTCCATTAAAAATTAAAATTTACTACATTTTTACATTGTTAGAATTACTGGAGTCAACACACCTGCGATTATTTAATGATGTTGTATGTTGACCACACATGATCCATGGCAATGTATGATTTATATAGACTGATGACCCATGACTTCATTGTAAAAACCAGGAAAATTGGAATTTTAAAGAGAAAATTCATAAAAAACATTCATTCTCTTTCATTTACTTATCATGATGGATTTTTTTTTTCAGTAAAAAAATTTTGGTGTCTTTTTTATCCTTTTTTTTCTTTTATTGAATGCATGATAATTTATCAGTTTCTATGGAAGTTTTTTTTTTCTAGTAAGAAGCTTTCATGAATGTTTTTATGAAGTATCTTTTATCTGAAAAAAAAAAGCAACAAGAGGGTGAAGAAACAGCTATTTTAGATTAGTGTATAAAGTATAGGATGGGAAAAGGATTAGGTCCTTGAGTTGGCTTTTTTTACCCTGTGTCTACCATTACACTGGTTTTAATCCCCTTTTTGACATTCATTATGACTAGTCTACCACTTTTTGTAGATCAGACATTAAGCTTAGCTCTGTCAATTGAGAAGAGAGTTTCGGATTCTGTCACTGTATCTTTTTTCTGTCACATCATTCAGTTCCTAAGCCCTGGTAACAGGGACGGTCCATTATTAGGGCCACAGGACATTTTATCAGTTTTCTAAAAAGATGTCCTGCTCCTTTTGCCTATCAATGGCTCTCTCTGCATGTGTGGAAATGAAATCATCAACATAAAGTTACGCCTAATATACTCCGTATGAGAATCACCTCTCGTGGACAATGTAGCCGAATATATTATCCTTTTCACAGGATAATAAATTGGGCAGGTTTATTAAAATAATTCTATTCCTTTCAAATTCTTGACTTCTTCATATGAAATATGTGAAAAGAGTATAAGGTAAATACTTTCCCATGTTTTTCTTAGAGAGAATATAGCAATCTTTTCAGAATTTGTAACATTAAGGGTCCACATCATATCAAACCGAAGTGAAAAAAAATCTGTTGGTAATATTTCTTGATATATTAGCCATGCCCACATTTTCTATGAGATCACCCAGGTTAATTTTTCCACTGTGGGGGTCAACTGAGTTCCCACTTTTGTATCGTATAGTATTAGATTTTTTTATCAGCCTCGGGCCCTGAATATCTCCATAAAGAGTCAATTGTTTTGGTTTGTATAGAGTTACCATCTCCACAGTATCTGATAGCTTTAGTAGGGTGTAGGAAATCAAATAGGACTTTATCAAATCTCCGATACAATCTAACGTTGTTACACCGTTCATAACATCTTTATTTTAGAAATGAAATCATTTGTAATTGTCTGAAATTTACACTCTCTAACTAGAAATAAAAATTCATTCATGGTTATGAGAGTTGAATTTCACACTTGCTCTAGCTTTTGATAGTGCTTTGTATAGTGAGTTTTTCACACAAAATTGCCCGCATATGAAGAATTAAAATATCAAAGATTTTGCAAGAAGTAAAAAGAAAAAACAAAGTCAGTAAATATTTAACTCAAGTTTTTCTCTTTAAGTATGAATACTGAATATTTTTTTTTGAAAGAGTTCACCATTTAAAAATTAATTTTTTAGTTATAGCCATATTTGGATGTAAACAGACAATAATATAATTGTGTAAAGAAAAAAGCAGAGTGAAAAAATACCTAAAAAAATAATTAAAATAATGTTTCACAAATGTGTTTTTTACAAAAATTTGAATCCACATTTTTTGGCAAAGAAAGAATTTTTAAGGAGGCTCATTGCTTAAATTAATTAATTTGGTAAAAATGAACCAAAAATTAACCTATAAAATGAAACATGGAGATTGAGAGGATTCCATTGTGGTGAGACTAAAGTATGGCAAGATCTCCTTAGTCTTGTTTTTCTCAATGACAAAAATATTTAGTGGTAATAGGTTTTTAGACTATCAAGCTTGAAATGTTTTTGAAATTTAAATTTCATACAAGGGAGAAATGATGGATGTTATACAAAACTTTTCATGGAGGATGATCACATAAGGTTGATAAAAAGGCAATTTAATTGGCCCTTCTGGCTCTGTATGCTCGATATATCCGCATGCATTTTATATCTCCGACATCAAAAAGTCAATTTGGAAAAGATTAAATTTTATTGAATTTTAAATGATTTGTGTGTAAGTTAGAAATGTTTAATTTTGTGCAAAATACGTATGTTTTGTCACGGTTGACCAAGGAACGAAATCCCAGACAGATGAAATCGATCAGAAATTTTTCAAATTTTAAACTGGGTGTGTGTGTCACACAAAACTGATATGATATTATACCCTGGTCTCCTTGCTTTTGGTTTGTGTTTTTAAATTTGCCTTGTGGTTTTTTGAATCGTGCTATAAATGCCAGTCTACTTCACACTGCATTAACCTAATCCTCAACAGACACATATGTCCATCAAAAACTAGAATAAAAAATCTACATAAAAAGAGTTTCTCCTTATTTATTTCACGCTTCTTTATGAAGCTGAATAATTCCTGGTTCAAATAATTAGCATAGAAATTATGAAAAATATACTCTTCATTCATCACTGCCACTCATTTCAAAGTTACATCACATTTACCTAACAGAAACATTATGTTTCTTCTCCATCATCATAACAAAAATCCTTTTTAGTTTGTGTCTTTGAGTAAAAATGGATTGTTCGCTGGACAATCGTCACAAAGACTGTATTTTGATTGTCATCACAACCATTTACACAACACGTGAATTCCGGCATCGAAATAAAATTGTCCAGGAAACGAAACTTTCTGTCTAAACTGACACAAAGTGAAAGTAGATCATCAGACATTTTCTATTTATCACAGACTTGGTCCTGTTAAATACCCGGAGAGCTGGGTTTTCTCTTTTCCTTGCGGATTTCCAGAGGTTCGAAATTATATAGGATTTCTTGTTTGATTTTTATTCTGCAGTCTGCAGATTCACACAAAATAAATATTGTCAACAGCATGTACTTGCTTTGTAAGCTAAATGGATACATCCTGTCTGAAAATTGCACAAGGATATCGCCTCACTGAAATATTAATCCTCTACTCAGAGAAACACTGAACAAAATCACATCTCTATCACAATATTCCATTTAGAAAATACTCCATGTTTCATACAACAGAATATGACATACGCGGGGTGTTTGCTGGGTAGTGATGGAGAGGGGTATGTACCATAGCAGTCGTCATAGTCAATGGTCTACACTGCTGAGAGATAGAAGGAATATGGTTAAGTTTAACATCTGTCTCTATTTGCTGCAGATCTATGGCCTCCGGGGTACTTTTTCTGTAGGAGGGTTGCGGTGGTAGGAGATCTATGGTTGATGGAGATGAGTTACTTATAAATGTCATGGTAATAGGATCAAGTTTTGTACAGGAAGGGGATGGAGTTTGATGAATGGCGGATGAGGACCTTTCACTAGCTTTCCTCCTGGAGGAAGGACGACTGTTTCTATGTTTAGACTGTCGACTAGAACTGCGATAAAAGTCACAGTTGGAATTTGATCGGTGACTTGGACTGGGTTGTTTTGAAGAACACCCTTGTTGCACAGTCATTGTTAGACTTTCTCTATGAGATTTTATAGGTTTGAACAGAGGCATGTCTTGAGTATTGCTATTTTGTGCACTATGTAAGTATTGTCCAGATCTGGAACTGCGAAATCCAGAATCCTCGGAATCCGTTGAGGACTGTGAATACGGTCGCTCTCTCTCGTATCGGTACTGTCCCTCACTGAGATCTGACATCCCGCTGTCGTTACACGTCTGATACAGCTGAGGGTTGTTGGGCTGGTCTGGTGATAATTCACCAGTTGCCTCGTACGCCTCATTGTCCCTCTCACTCAGTAGTCTGTCCTTCTGTTTAAACTGTTTGGACTGTCTGCTCCACATGGGAGGGAGAGGAGGGGGTGGGGGAGCGTAGGCCCCATGGAGTTTCCTCAGTCGTCCATGGGGGTCATGCTTCTTTGTCATAATTTCTCGTCGTATCCTGAACTTTCGCATGCAGTAGATGAAGACGATGAAGAGAGCGATGGTGATGATACAGGGAATAAGGATTCCGAGGAAGAATAGATAATTGACGGTCATTGCATTGGTCATGCTGAGTGGCTTTCAGTAGTGTCTGTCCCGGACTTTGTAGCCATACTGTGAGGTCAGGCGGTGGCGAGGTTGTCTGAAACATTCACCTGGAGAAAGAGAAAAACAGAATATAATCCCAGATTAGGCTATCACAGATTTATTGTCATCACAAAGTATAATGCTGATCTGCAAACAGATTACATGTTTAATCCAGCATTACTTAGGGCTTCAGAAAATACATGATAAGAAGATAGAGCCTTATCCAGCGGAATCCTGACCGACCACAGCATATCCTTATTTGTGAAAAATGGGGAAAAAATCATACTTGACCTATTTCAATAATTTTTTTGAGCGGAATAAAATATTTTTGTCGTCAGTTATTGATACGGTCCATTCCCAATGCAAATTTACCTTTCAAAAGTGAAATTTACTCATACAGATATGAGATTATATTCGAGATAAACCAATTAGATGCCTGGCTGCTCTTTAGACTTTTTATTTCTTTATTATGTTTTTGTCACATAATGCCTTCTCCTCATATCTTAATGCTGCCTTCAATAATTTCTCCATCTTGCATCTGTGAAAAGGAGTCATTTCAATTTTCAAATCAAAAAGGGGAGATTTAAGGTTGTGCAGACTTATGCATAGATTTGGGGTATTGAAATGTTTGTTGAGGTACCCAGGCAGAAAGATTTCACTGAATATGTCTCGTGACCATAAATCTAACAAAGCGCAGCAGTATAATTACACTGTACATCTCTCAGCCTGGTAAGTTCGGCAGGTGCTCACTCTGACTAATTTAACCAGGGGTATAAGAGCCAGACACAGGTTAGGGGTGGAGGTCAGGGATAGGGGAGGGGCGGGGGAAAATAGGGAGCTTTAATTAGTTAATTTCTCAGGGAAAACGCAAGTCTTTGCCTGACTAGATTGAAGTTTGATCGTATCATTTCATGTAAAGTTAGACAGGCTCTTTGTTGTAATGGGTATTACTACACTGCACATAGGAGTCATAGATAATCATCAGATGCATTATTGGAGAGTTTCGTTTTCACCATTTCATTGACGGCAAATACACGTAACTTTACCATGTAGCCTTCCAAATATTACACAGATTTTTATTCTTATGAATATAATGCATATACTGTGCACAATTTGGTATTATAATATGACTTTAATGGAATGTTTTTAAAACAAAACACAGGAAAAGATCTATTGATAAGATTTCACAAAAAAAGATATTTGAGAGCGGTGCTTTGTTTAAATATAGCCATTTACATTTTGGGATAGTTTTTCCTCTCAAAGTTGCTTCTTTCTGTTAAGGTGAAATACATAAATACAGAATATTCTTCCAAGCAGAATTTCAATACGTGTATATAATTGAAGTGGAAAATATTTATCTATTCGTTCTCCATAATTTTTGTTCATTTTTTTTCCTCAACAAAAAAAAACCTTTATTTTATTTGAGCAATATTTTTTTTTCTGATGACTTTTTTTTCTAGATGATTCTGGTAAACTGCTTAGAAGGAAAGGGAAAAAAAGGAAAATATTTTAAAACAGGGGCCTTTTTATCTGTTATCTTCCATAAATAATGAATGTATTCGGAGCAAAACAGACAACACTTCGTTCCCTGAAGCCATGTACACACAGCAGATATGCGTTGTTTCCAGCGAGGACTGGTGAATTTTATCCTAATCTGTTGTAAGCTCTTCCTTTTATATCTCTACATTTGGAATACAAAAACCTTTTTTTCTTGCAATGACACACAGCAATTTTAATGACAAGAAATTGTCTGTCCTCATGCAAAGTTTTTTTCTTAAAATTTTTTCTTGCGTACAAAGACTTTTTATTCAATTAAGTTTGATGATAGGAAAAAAATTGATGAAATTTCTACCTGTCATATTTTATTAAAGATGATTTTAAAATTGCTTGACAATGTTATTGTTAGAGTACCATCAGATGGGCCTTTGTTAGAGAGGCGGTTTTTCATTCCGTTTCTCTATTTAACAATTATTTGTCTTTTATTTTCATTGCGATGGTTACCCCCATTACCTTATTCCTTACAGTGTATGAAAATTCGGAGGGTTTAAATGTAATTTAATCTCGGAGACATTGTCAGAACATTTTTCCTTTCGGGGAGGCGAGTCTTGAAAAAGTGCTGTTGACTTTGCCATTACAAACTGTTTGCACAAATTTAAATCTAAAATCCTACATAATAACCAGCTTTTGTGTGAGAAAGCAATGCTTTCATATTTAAAAAAAAAATTCAAGGCTTTTTCCCTTGTTTTGTTTGAGTCGCATTGAAAGAAAAAACCTTTTCAATTTTACACTCTGTTCGTAAACTTTTGCATTTCTAAAACTGTCTCTCCCATTATGTGATAAGATTACAATAAAAACATTTAAATAAATCGCTAAAGAATCTGTGTTGAAAGTCTTATTTTTTTGTTGGTATTTAGTTCAAATCCATTTACACCTGAAGGACTGCACCTACACCAGAAATCCTCCATTTTATTCATGATTTTGACTTTGTTAACGACAGATCAATCAAATGTATCGACTTCTGATTTCAGAGCCTTTTCTCTCCTTTGTTAACTCAAAGAATCATCAGCCATCCATGGCAAATGATCAATTCGATTTCATTAACCTACTTAATTTCAGGCTACTTCTTAATTAATCATTTCCTTAGTTAATGAAAAGTTAACACATCTTACCTGAATTTTTTTTTTACATTTATAGATGAGAAATTTAGGAACAATAAGTCTATCCCTCAACTTTAAGTTCCAGTTTTTTTGTCCCTCGGTAGAAATCTAACATGCTTTTCCTCAAACACAAAACTATAGCACTGATCAATAAGTCTACCTATATATCCACAATAGTTTAGTCCCGGAGGATGATACATGAATGAATGCCCCACTCAGCAAGTCCAGAGCAACTGAAAACGATCCATGCGCGTCTCTTGTTCCAGCCCCTTTAAAACACGCTACCTTTTACACCTAGACTGTGCGGTGTGACGTTGTGTTCAGTGATAAATGGTACACAAGGTGATGTACGTGCTAAAAATACTCGTTAAAATCTTATCTTTTCAATCAGACTAATTTTTCAAAACTTTATTCACTTGAAAATCCAGGTAAACATATTTTGTAGAGAGAGATGATATCATGGCTTTAAAAGACATTTGAACCGCTTTGACATATCTTAATTTCAATACACCATTTAGAAGTCAAAAAACCAATTGAAAAAAAAAATCCTTCAGAATTAAGATGAAATTCTTGTAAAAATAATCCTAGATTTTTTTTTTTTATTTAATTTTGGACTGAAGAGTAACTTTAAGCATTAATTTTGACTGGTTAAGCAATAAACATGGTACTAAGAGTGCAAGAGAATACATAATGCTACCAAATGATGATGTGTATTATATAAATTATTACAAACAGTAATTAGTCATAGAGATTCTTCCCACCTGGAACCCCTCGGGCCATATAGTTAAGCCCCGTTCTCACCTGCACAGTTTTGGGAAGGCAATACCTTCTCATTAGGGATAATTTCTCAAAAGTTTGTGAAGAATCAATATTTGCAAAAGATCTATATTCTGGACATTGTACACAAACCATGTTTGCAGTCTGGTACACCCAAACAAAGACGAAACGCTATACCCAGAATGATGTTTTTGAAAAGAAAGAAAACATCTTTTAAATCAGTTTAACAGTAGCTGATGTATTTTGATAGTAAGCTCAGAATGACTAGAGAACTTCAACTAGTTTAATTTTATTGAAATCCCCTCATTCAAAGACTTTATATTTTCACACACTATAACACTGTGTGTTTTGTCTGGTAGCAGATCTAACAATTTCTTTTTTATTTATCCCCCTCCCAAGTCTTGTAGCTGTGTTACCATTGTAAGAAACATTGTGGTATTGATTGTGAAATGGTCTCATTGATTGCATTAATGTTTGTGTAAACATTTTGATAAGAAAATAGGCTTAGCCCAGCGAATTTTGATAACCCATAGAATCCCCTCTCTTATTTGGCAGCTCACTGATTGATTTTACTTAATTGGTTTTGATTGATACGAAAACAATTTGGTCAGTCTTAACAACAAATTTATAGGGTCTATTTGGGGCCATCAGAACTTTATTTGGGAAAACTTTTACCACTTTAAACTTCAATTGAATAGATTTAATTAATTGATTAAAGGCTTTTCTTTGGTAAGTGAAACCTTGTTTTATCAGGCTGATCTTTCGCTTCTGGACAATCTGTCACTTTTGGGCTGTTTTGACAACTACAGAATGGTCACTTAGTCTCCGTAATAAAAGTGATTCATGAATTTATATCCCCCTTTATTCGCAAATTAAAAACCAAAACAATTCAACCACAGGAAATTGTGAAATATGGTAGATTAGAAAGAATTGAAAAGAAAATCAAGTCATGAACTTACCATAACGTAAAAAATATCCCTTATTCACCACAGTAATTAAAGAAAAATATCCTGAGTGCATTAGATGTAACTCTGACATAAGTAAGCTTCCAGAACTACTTTAGACTGTGTAGACTAATCAGTTGTCAGTTTGAGTAGCTTAAAATCAGAAGAAGGAAGCAGTACTATTATACTTATTATCAGGACCTGGTCAGTTTTGGGAAGTACCTGTGAAAACAGGTAGACAATCACTCCAGAGGCTACGAAACAGCTGTTTATTATGTCACTCAAACTAATAGTACATAGTGTCAAGTCATATTACTGCAGTCAGTGATCTCCCCTTTGATCTCTGGGTTATCTACCTTGATTATACAGACTAGTTAGTCCAGATAGACTGGTCAATTAGAAGGGAATAAATTGGATTACTCTGATCTTTGTTACCTGTCCAAGACACTTTTAGTTATTTATGAAGTCTTGATCATGCACTGCCTTATGTAATTATTATATCAGACAAATTTTATTGGCCAATTTACTAAATATCAAATTTTACAAGATATCAAGGAGATAAACATTTAGCACTTTTTAAGCCTGTACAATTTTTGAATGCCTTTTTGTGAAGTTGATGAATTATGTAATACAGTATGTTGGGGGGAAATTAGTTTCTGCTTTGATATGATGTGATATGATTCTTTTAAATATGCAAATCAGAAATTCTATCTCTCATGCGGTGCTTGGAGCTATGTCATGTTTTTGTAGATGAAACTGATCAAAGAAAAGAGATAAAAAGAAACATGGATTTCTTTTAAAAAACACCTTGTCCAGGCATTTTAATTTGGTATGGGACACTTTTCTGCAAAACTTTAAATCTTAACTGTTTGGGAAAACTTTAAAGTGATTTTATATTAAGGAAACAAAATTCACCTCAGACTTAGTGTAAGTTTGAATTATAAGAAAATTTTAAAATCATTTTTTCAGAACTTTTTTTTAACTTTCAAGGAAATCTTGATTTTCAGCAGAACATCAATTGATTTACAGTTAAAAAACTTTTTTGACCTTACTTGACTTTAAATTGCCTTGTTGAACTATACCAGCAATTTGTGCTGGGCGTTTGACACCATGAGATAATTGAGGGTTGTAACAATATTTTTACAGTACAAACTGTAATTACTGCTCAGAGCCTTTTAGAGTGGGGGCTCTACAACAATGTCATAAATTTCTCACACAAAAAACGAGACCCTATCTGGGGACAAAGTCAATAAAAAAAAACCTTGTTTGTCCATTCATCCCCTTTACTTCTAACACCAGTGTGACAAAAGTCTTGAATAACAAGGAAATGCTTTTGATATAAAATGAAACATTGAAGTTTGTTTTATCAAAGTTCACTTTACAATTTTTTAAGGGGATGACATGTTTGTAATTTCTCTCAGGGTGGAGAATCATGTTTATTATATTTTTAAATTAATTTTTTTTATTATGAATAATGTAAGATTGATATAGATTTAGAAGTCAATTAAGTTTATACTAAAGATTTTTGTTTACATGTGGTTTAGACAATCATATTAATTTTCAATTTGTAGAGGCTTAAGAAAACTAGGATATTTATAAATAAAAAATGAAGCCTGTCAGTTAAAGACTCAGTAACCATATCAACAAAAGCCAGCCTCACTTTGATCTTGTCTGCCATGTGACACCAATACACCAATAAAACATAAGGATGTTTAGACCTGTTGAATGTGGATCAGCACCTTAATGTATAAAATACAAGACCACATGGCCACACCCAGCATTACAGACTCCAGAAACAATTAAAAAGAGTTAAGATACACATTTGTCAGAGAGTTACAAGGGGCCCAAAATTAAAAATAAAAATTTATACAGTGTTTGAAAAGTATAATGTTTCTTTCAGGTGCATTTAAAAATATATTAATCAAAACACAGGCCTTTAGATTGCTAAGGAAAAATTTGAGGTGTATCTTTACTTTTACACCAACAATTTTTTTAAGCAATCTAAAGGCCTGTGAATTAAAATTATAAATTGTGATGTATTCTGCAAAATTAATTTTCCAGATAAATATAATCTATTTTGGGATGGGTTAAATGGTAATTGTATTTAATCTTGAATGTCCAATTTTAACTGTACTTCAGTGTTTCTTGTGGAGAAATTAAGCCAGTAAATTATATTTTCAAAGTTATCAGACATTGTCATACTCCACAGAATATTAAAGATAGTGGGAGGCAATAAACTACCATATTATAACAGTGTTAGAAAGATCATTAATGATTTTACATGAAGGGGATGATATAAGTCTTTCATCATGACTACCCCACCACCCAACTGATCACAGCAACACAGGAGAGAGACAAGGTTAGGCCCTCAGAGGTTGTAATAATCAGGACATTCCAAGATAGAAAGGACATTCTCTTGTTATAACGGAGGTTCCACGCATTGATTCAGTCAGTAGTGTTACGAAACATTACAGAACTGTACTGCAATAGCGCCAACAATTTCTTAATTAAATATATTCGGTAGAAATTGGTCCTTCAGGAATGCTAGCATTTTGTCAAAGGACACAGATTGAGAAGAGAAAGAGTTTTAAATTTCTGCCTGTCGAGACAAAGATTTTTAAATACTGACGTCATGTGGCTGTTATTGCGATAAAAAGTCGCAAATATTTGAAGTTTGAACCCTTGTCTGAAATCACTTTACCACACGAAACTCTTGATTTCTGCTTTTGTCTCATCAATAGAGATAAATGCACATAACATAAAAATTCTATTGCCAACAAAATTCTTTATCAGCAAGATAAATTGCTATTTGTGTGAAGTTGCTTTCCTGTATTTGGGGGTATCACTAGATAACGTCCCAGCGGGGAGGGACCAGTTATCAACCACCACACAAACCGGTACACCGCCCAGCGGGAACCACATTTAACGTCGCTGTCTGTCTGGTAGCGGGGTCCACGTTAAATCAGCACCAGGCAACATGGACCACCAGGCTGTAGTTCTCAGAGACAGTTACCAATGGCAGTCTCATCCGGTACAGGGAATTCTGTCAGGCCTTATCTTATAAGATCTTAGCATCACCAGGTAATTTGTCTGGAGCTGATATCATCCCTCTACCTGCTGCAGAGGTGTAGAAATCTATAGGTCACATCAGAGACACTGTCATAAAACCCTCCTCTTATCACTGAGTACAGGGCTGGGAGGGTCAACTCAGGTGAATTTATGTAGGTGCCTTTTGTGGAATTTTGTGTTTCTACCACAGTAGACAAGCATTTAAGCCCCCCTCCCCCCTCCTTCCCCTTCAAGTTCATTGTATTTTCATTCAATTTGCAGTTTTGAATTAAATTTCAGCAATTTTAAAATCAAAAATGATTTTATCCGTCTATCATAAATTATATTGAAAACAAATAAACATGTACATTTTTTGTACAATATATTTCAAAACCAAATGGATAAATTCCAAAAAAAAAAGAAAGAAAGATTAATATAAATTAAATAAAAGATTGTGTTACAGTGAACCTTCAGATATCCGGACGCCAGATATCCGGATGCTTCAGTATCCGGACGAATTTTCAT